ATCTTTCAGCTTCCGTCAAAATGATTATTTTTAATCCAAATCTCTACGGATACAACTAGAAGATCAACGAACCCTGGGAAAAAGTGCATTGCCATTCCAAAAATGTTAGAACTCAAACACACCATACTTCCACACTAGGCCTTGGTCTACTCAACCTTAGCTGCATTTACTGGTTATTATGTAGTTCTTGTGCATAATCATGTTTGCAGTTGTTTCCTTGGCCTTTAAGAAGAGCTTATGTGATGTTAAAACCAAAGATCTGAACTTAAGATCATTAGTGATTTTGTCAGTCGGAATATAAAGTGATTAATTGTTTCCCCTTTTTCATTTAGCTTATGTGGGAATGTTCAGTTGATGGTGAACTTATGTCACTCTGTTTCTCCAGGTATATGTGCATAGCAAGATCATGATTGTCGATGACCATACAGCCTTGATTGGATCTGGAAATATAAATGACAGAAGCTTGCTTGGTTCAAGAGACTCTGAGGTATTGTTGCTCAGTCATTGATCCTAAAAGAAGAGAAACTCTTTTAAATGATTGGAGCCTTAAATAGTTGATAAAAGCATAGTGTCTAACTGAAACTGCCTGCATAATGTGGTTAATTTGCATATGCTGTGCATACCCCTGCTCTGTATATTTTCGCGATGGGTTGAAGAAAACTTTTTCCTTTTCTTGTTTGCTTAATGCCCGGTCTGAGTTTTACCTAATCTTTCAAGTTTCCTTTGAGCTGTTATATCTTCGTTTAAACTGTCATTTATCTGCTAAAGAATCTTCGAAGTCTTCTTAAAGACTCTATTGTGCATCATACATGTGGAAGACAGCCATAGCTATTCGTTCTTCTACCCACTCGTTGACAGTCTTACTGCTCTCACCTCTACATTATTTATAAGTCGCCTTAGCTCTCTGAAGTTGTATCTGGTGACAAGTTATGTTGTACTCATTGTATTGACTGCTATTACCCAACGTCTTCTTTAATGATCAGTAAGGATTGTGATTTTATTGCAGATTGGTGTACTTATCGAGGACAAAGAGTTTGTCAATTCATTCATGGGAGGCAAGCCTAGGAAGGCGGGGAAATTTGCATTAACTCTTCGCCTTTCTCTATGGTCTGAGCACCTTGGTCTTCGTACTGTTGAGGTGCTAAACTGTTGGCCAGTCTGAAGCTTTTTGTTCTAGGCTATTTGAAGTTTCAGCTGATTAATTGTATTGCCTTGCTAGGTTGGTCGAATTAAGGACCCGGTGATTGACTCAACGTACAAGGATATTTGGATTGCAACCGCTAAGGTATGTGTGGTAAAATGCTTCTTTGAATTTCATGATTGAAAAAAGAGTCTTTGTTTGCAATTAAAACAATTACCTAGTTTTAAAATCAAAGGAGTTATTATTTGCAAAACGAATTATTGACACTCGAAAACTTTACATGTGTGCTTTAACACGCCAACCTTGTCTGATACTTGAGCAATGTGTTATTGTCAGACAAATACAATGATATACCAGGATGTTTTTTCTTGCATACCCAACGATCTGATACATTCCAGGTATAGCTAGCTGCCATCATTTTCTCACCCCATTTACTCTCTTTTTCCTTTCCTTTTTGATCTCATATTCCTCTAATGTCATGCAGGGCTTCACTCCGACAATGCATGGCATTCTCGAAAGAAAAACTTGGTCACACGACTATTGATTTAGGAATAGCTCCAAGCAAACTAGAATCTTATCAGGATGGAGATATCGAGGGTATAGATCCCATGGAGAGATTAAAGTCTGTGAAAGGTCATCTTGTTTCCTTCCCTTTGGATTTTATGTGCAAAGAAGATTTAAGACCTGTGTTTAATGAAAGTGAGTACTATGCATCAGCTCAAGTTTTTCATTGAAGCTTCAACTTACGGACCATGAAAATGAGAATCATTATTAAGTGTTTCAATGGGCGATGCATCCTACAGAAAATTATAGTACTGTGTTCTGTATCGCAACATTGTACAAAAGCTGGGATACACTTGAGAGGATATTTGGTGAATTCTGGAGAAGGTGCAAAACATACTAAGATAAGCTTATGTATCTAGCTAACAAGGATAGAATTGTTGATACTGTGTTCATTAGGCCGATAGGGTCCCACTTCACAAGCTCAGATGTCAATGTGACTGTTGGATCGGACCCGTGATGCGTGGTTCATAGCCATGTGCTTTGAGTTACTAGCGCCACCCTTTCTCCACTGGATCTGTTCCATGTAGTAGCCAATTGTTTCAGTTTTGACCGGCATTTAGGATAGATAAGATCTCTATTGCCTCTTCTGTGAACAGTTTCTTCGATACATTCTCCACACTGCGCGTCGTGATTGGACACTACAGCAACTGGCTTCTGTTCACTTATATTCATGTAATTTACAGATATAATGCAGACTCTGCATTACTCTTCTATGAGCAATTTCTATTTATGAGTCCCAGTTTTGTTTTGGGAAGCACTTATAGGTTGTATAATCGATTATTAGGATCCAGAATTAAATGAACTATTACTATTCTTGCTCTTTAATTGTATAAATAAACTTATATTCATGCAGTGTAGAGAGATAATGCGGACTCTGCATTACTCTTCTCTGATCAATTTCTATTTATGAGTCCCGAGTTTAGGTAGAGGTAGTATAATCGATTCGTGTCAAGAATTAAATGACTATTACTATTCTTAGCTCTTTTAATTGTAAGGGTCATGGTTGTGTGGTATTCATATCTTCGTTTTGAATAGAACCTTGACTGATTTTGATATAACGCCATAGTTGCATCATCTTTCTTACTATTACTAAGTGTCTAACACTATAATTATCAGTTTATAAGTGCATTTAGGGGTCGTTTGGTAGGGTCTATAAGAATAGTACAGAATACAGTGTATTAGTAATGCAGAGATTAGTAATGCAGAGATTAATAATGCAAGCATTAGTTATGCAGATATTATTTCTTATAAACTGTTTGGTGTAGTGTATTAAAAATTATAATGCATTGCATAATTTTTAAGAAAAATAGTTGTTTACAAAAATGCCCTCCATATTCTCTAGCTTTAAGGGATTTTAAGGACAATTTTGTCTTTAACTATACTAATGCATTGCATTAATAGCCTTGGTATTACTAATGTCATGGTTTTCTATGCATTACTTAAACATAGGCTAATACCAAGTATTATGTATAACTAATGCAAGTATTAGTTATACATAGGTTGAAAAAATGTACCAAACAAGGTATTAGTAATGCACAAAGCTAATGCTTGCATTATTTTTTCTAATACCTCCTACCAAACGACCCTTAGCGTGTAAGCAATCCTTAATATCCCAGGCTGTAAGTGGTAGTAAAGTTTGTTATAGGTGTACAAGTTACTCATTAAAGAGATAAGTAGAGATATTACTGCCTGAGGTGCTGCACTTCCATATGCTCAACATCATAGCTTAATGAAAATAGCACATGCTAGTAAGAGGGAAAATGAGGTTTGATAGTTTAAATCATCATTATACTGTTAACAACAGCAATAAACAACCTTATTATGATTACACTTATTACCAATGTGCTTAAGTATTAGAACTCGAAATCTTAATTTCTTCGAAAGACAAATTATATATTGCATGGGTATGAAGTAGACATGAATAAATAGGTGTTAAGATTTAAATAACTGACATTAATTGAATAATTGTTAATTGAATTGTACACTTGACGTTTATGTCAAGCCACTTCTCAAACTTTGAACATTTAGGTACAGACTACTTAGCGACACCATTATTGTTAACTACAATATAGTCAAACGTTTTCAGTGTTTGTATGATTAAAAATAAAAGTTAACGTTTAATTAAAACTAGAAATTAAATGAATTTGTACACTAGAAATCATTTATACAATTTTTAATATGTACATTGATTATTCCTTTTTTGGGATGAAAAAATATTTTAATCGATTATAACTTTAACTAAAATCACGAGACATAGACTATCACATAACGCTAATCTAATGGATGACATTGTGAATCCTTTTTATGCATCCAGTTTAACGCTAGGAGAGGTAGTTTTAAGTACCTTGAGTCTATTATTCAGGGGAATGGAGATATTGATGAAGATGTCACACATCGTATTGGGGCGGGATGGATGAAATGGAGACTCGCTTCCGGTGTTTTGTGTGACAAGAAGGTACCACCGAAACTTAAGGGTAAGTTCTACAGAGTGGTGGTCAGACCAACGATGTTGTATGGAGCTGAGTGTTGGCCAGTCAAGATCGCTCATGTCCAGAAGATGAAGGTAGCAGAGATGAGGATGTTGAGATGGATGTGCAGGCACACCAGGTTAGATATGATTAGAAATGAGGCTATTCACGATAAGGTGGGTGTGGCCTCTATTGAGGATAAGATGCGGGAAGCGCGGTTTTAAGTGGTTTGGTCATGTGAGGAGGAGGAGCACAAACGCCTCGGTGAGGAGGTGTGAGAGGTTGACATTGGAGGGCCTACAGAGAGGTAGAGGTAGGCCAAAGAAGAGGTGGGGAGAGGTGATTAGGCAAGACATGGCGCAACTTCAGCTGACCGAGGTTGATAGGAAGGTATGGATGTCGAGGATTAGGGTAGTAGAGTAGGTAGTCTAGAGTGTTCATAAAAGTAGTATTGATACACAGTCTCGCTTTCTGTTGTTGGTAGTATAGGTTTTTATGACTAACCGTTGTTTTCTTTTATTGTTGATTACCTTACTATCTTGTTATTTTTATTCTGCTTTTATATGGCTTTTTGGTACTGTCCTTTCGTGTCTATATTTTTATTAATGTGATGCTTATGCTTTCCTGAGCCGATGGTCTATTGGAAACAACATTTGTATCCTCACAAGATATGGGTAAGGTCTGCGTACACACTACCCTCCCCAGACCTCACAGCGTGGGATAATACTGAGTATGTTTTGTTGTTGTTGTTTCACGCTGATAGGGGTTTAAGAGATGGCTTATACGTATTTCATGAGCGACTAAACAAGGAAATGAACAATGCATAAAATGCATGGGTGACTTCCAACAGTGAAGAAAACTATTGGGGGAGAATTGTAAACACACGTTTTTCTATAAGTAGAAGACGAAACAAAACCCGTATCGAAGGTTGCCCGACGCCGAAGCTACCATCTTTTTACATCTCTGCAGTCGACACACACACACACAGAGTGAGGTTAGCCATTTTTATACCAACTCTTCTTTACTTTCGAAAATAGTTGTCAAGATTGCATTTTCCAGCCTTTTTGGAAGTGAAATATAATTGCAAAATTGATTCCCATCTAACCCCATTTTGTTTTATCTTGTTAGAGTCTTTTTTTAGTTTTTGTTTATTTTATTTTTAAATTTTTTGCTATCTCGGTGAACTTTATTGCTCCTACTTCTCCTGATAATGCGTTGAAACAGCGATTTGGGATGAAAAAGAATGGCTTACCAAATGCTTTGGATACTTAGAATTGGCCCTCAGTCACATTGCTTAATTGAAATATGCTATTAGAGTTACATTGAGGCATAAACTAGTTTATGATTGATAACCATTTTGCTATTATGTCATCGTTATTCTTATTGTTTTACGGACTGTGATTTTGATGAGAATATTAGTTTATGATGATTTTAGTATGATATTATTGAGGGTTGACTACCTAGAGTTATATGATTATACCTACTCAGTGTCAGTCGCGGAGCCAATAATTCTGAGTAGGGGATTCAGAAAAGTCAAAAATGTCATACGCAGTATAACTTTCTGACGAAGGGAGAAATGTGCCTATAGGAAAACGAAAATGGGGTAGTTCAAAGATGAAATCGTTCTTATATGTTCATCATACATGATGCAATTTGTAGGAACGAACAGGAGCTTGAATATCCTTTCTTCCGGTTGCTTTTAATGGCGACAGTAGCTTCTGGTGCTTTGGTTACTTTGGAAGAGCTGGTTCCATCTTCGCCATACTTTAAACACGGGGTCTCTCTTCGCGTTACTGGAAAGTGGGTAATCAGTCTTCGATATCAATGATGATACTTATCTCATTTCTAGCACTTATTTATCTACCTTGCCTTTCCTGAAATTTCTGATTTTTACCTGCTATAGTCTTTAATTGATCTGCCAATCTATCTTTTTGCTGAAATTATATCTAATTCTCCCCTAAACATTATGAGTGAGTGACAATTTTGTCAAACACGAGTGAAGCTCTTTTGAGTAGCTTCTGCTCAATTTAGCCCCATTGGTTTAGTCAGTCTGGAGAGAATCTTACCTTCTATTTTCCTGTTAATTGAATATTTGCTGCTTTATCTAGCTTAAATGGAGCGACATAGTCCGTGAGGATTCATATAGTTGACCCCAACTTGCTTGGTATTGAGGTGTAGTTGTTGTATCCTTTCTACAGTAGTCCAGTGAAAAGTTCCAGTAGGTCCTTGTGGGATCAAAAGGGTCGCCTTTAGTTCGTCCATCTAGGGTGCTGCTTGTCAATAACAAGCTCAGCGAACTAATATGTAATTTAACCCCGTCCCAGCTTCACTTATCCCTTAAAATTGTTCTTACCTATACCAAGGAGGTGAAGCATCATAGTGCGGTTTTTGTGAGTTATTCAGGAACTTACTTTTCTAACATAAGGAAGTTAATTGATACTCAAGGCTTGCTATTCTTTATTTTCCTTCTAGGCTACAAGACTATAATGTGGGGACTGCTGTTGCTGTGATTGTTGATAGGAATGCGTCATTAGAAATTGACACACGGCACTTGAATCTCAATCTTCGCGTTGGTTCCATCTTCCAATTTATTGGAGAACTGCATCTTGAACCCGGTCATGAGGTATGAAAACCTGAATATTCATTTCGTGGCACAAGCGGCTTTAAGTTTCTTACAGTCTCTTTTATCTTAATATTACTCCCATTCTAATATCTAGTTATTACCCACTTCCTATCCCAGGAAAAAGAACACAAAATGTGAGGTAAATGGTGACTCATCTTTGTGAAGCTCTGAGAAAACACTGGTTCTGTTAAGCCGAAATTATAGAATGAGACATGACAATTAGATCTCTATGTCACTGCTTGTTCTAGTAGTGTCTATTTGCATAAGCTGATTATTTTGTTATCTTTGCCTTCAAACCGTTAGAACAACAACAACAACAACAACCTAGTATAATCCCACTAGTGGGGTCTGGGGAGGGTAGTGTGTACGCAGACCTTACTCCTACCATGAGGTAGAGAGGTTGTTTCCAATAGACCCTCGGCATCCTTCCCTCCAAGAACTCCCCACCTTGCTCTTGGGGTGACTCGAACTCACAACCTCTTGGTTGGAGGTGAAGGTTGCTTACCATCAGAGCAACCCCTCTTGTCTCTGAAGGTTGCCTTCAAACCGTTAGAAGAGCATCAGATATCGGAATTTCAGCACATTGATTTCTGATTTCAGGCCATTCTAAAGGCACGAGTTGGACGAAATGTAGATGGAATGGATCTCAATCTCTATCGTCAGTCTCTGCAGCTTTTGAGAGACTTTCAAGCTGGGCAGTTGAATAGCTGAAGGATTTATTATTATTGATAATAATCTTCCAAAAGTAAGGCTTCAGAATGTGGAGAATGACTCTTACACCTTTATTTTCCTTCATTTCATTTCATGTTTGTTTTTATTTCACTGATTTTTTGTAATTAAACAATATTTAGAGGTTGATCATATTGTTAGCAAACTGCATAATGATTATTAATTGATCAATTCAAATTATATATTTTTATTTTGTGTTTTCATATAATTAATATTCTATAGTGGTAAAGTTAATTAATATGTTTTTAACTTAAGTAATAAAATTTTGATATGAGAAACTGGAGTAATTGAACACATTGCAAGCTGACAAATACTTGAGCTTTAAAACTCAATAATGATAGTTTTTACATATTTGTTACTTTAATATATAAAATTTATTATGATAAATTTATTTTAATATCAATCGCGCATCGCGCGAGTACTAATTTAATAATAATGTCTATGTGCTATTGGTTGAAAGAACGATATAAAATAAGGAGTTGAAATATTGTGAAGGAAATGATCTTTGCCCAAATGTGAGGAAATTAACTGAAAATATATTCTAAACAACTGAAAATTTTCAAAAAAAAAATAAAAAATTATTGGAAAAATATTTTCCTGATACTAAACACATTTTTTAATATAGTTAAGCCACATATTCTTAGGTTTTCCTACTTTCTTCTCATCTATCTCATTTATTTCATAACAATTTGACCCCATACATCGGATGCAAATAAGTTTTTAGCAAAAAATGGTCGAATCCAAGACCATGCATATTGTAGGTGCTAAAGCTTTTCTTCTTTTACTTGTCTTTTTCTTGATTTAATTTTCTTAAATTTTAGGGTCCTGATACTTAAAAACTATCAATCCGTATATTGATGTTTTAAGTAGTGTGAAGAGCAAGTAGAAAATTGATTTTATAATACTTTAATTTTGCTTTGGTTCTCTACAAAGCCTCTATTTATTCAATTCTAAATCTATCATGTGGCATAAAATCTCTACAAACTATTACAAGTCACGTAGATATAAAGAAATGCGAAGAATTAACTTAAATAACCGTCCAACCAACAACTTAAACTAGAAAAGCTGGTGGATATATAATATGTATTTAATCATGTATAATTAATATATAATCTATATATACTGGCCAACATTGAATCCGGATGGCTATTTATGTAAACATACCTATAAATATGGGCTAAGCCCAATTACGAACAGCTTAGCCCATTTCGTTTGGTTCCCTAATTTAGGTATTGTTTTTTTGATTCCAATCTCCTCCGAATCCAACAATGGCGATGACCAAATTTGAAAAACTACCTGAAGAAATCATAGTTGAGATACTCTCCCGTCTGCCGGCGAAGTTAATCGGCCAATCCAGGTGCGTATCAAAGCAGTGGTGCTCTATTCTCTCAGCTCCAAAACTCATTAAAGCTCACCTCACTTTTCATTCCCACAAATATGAAGAAGAAAAACTCATTACCGTCTGTCGTTCTCAGTCTCTTCACGCTTTAACCTTTAACCAAAATGGAAATGGTGTCGTTTCAAGAAAGCTTGACTTTCAGCAGCAGCTTTCAGACAACTGGGTTACTGTTGGTGGCTCCTGTAATGGCTTGGTCTTGGCTGTAAATGACAAACAAATTGCATTTTTAATTAACCCCACGACCTTAGAGTTCCATAGAATTCCAGATTCTGCTAATGCTTCAATTGGGCATCGTGGCTTTAGAATGTATGGTCTAGGGTATGATGTTCGTAGTGATGATTATAAGGTAGTTGCACTTTCTTATTATGCTACTGGTATTGATAATACACCTGATATTTTTAATACTTCTGTGGCTGTGTACTCTGTGAGAAAGGGTCTTTGGAGGAGACTACTACAGAGCAAAGAGAGTCTTTGGGGGAGACTCTATTCTAATGATTGTGCAGTTCCTGACCGTGCTTCTGGGGTTTCGGTTAAAAGGGCCGGTCCCCTGACGTGGCAAATGGGGTTTTCGTAAGAGGGATTTGGGAAAATGGGGTTTTGGTAAATGGGGCTTTGCATTGGTTGGCTAGTGAAGGTTCTGACTATTCACCTGTAATTGTTGCTTTTGATATACTTGAAGAGAAATTTTTTGAGGTGCCAGGACCTACTACTATAGACAAGGGTACACATGTGGTCAGTAAGCTTGTGGCTCTCAGAGGGTGTCTTTGTATTTTGTCTGAAACAGAAGAAACAGATACTATTTGGACAATAAAGAATACTATTTGGACGATGAAAGGCTATGGGATTGAGGAGTCTTGGACCAGGTATGAAGTTAAAGGACCGGATCTCGCTGAGTTGATACCATTGTGTTTAATGAGTGAGGATGATGTTGTACTAGATGTATGTGCAAGTTTGATTGTCTACAATAGGAGAGAGGATCAGTGGAGGGATATAACGGATGATAGAACTCCTACTATCTCGTATAGAGCTGGAACTAGAACCTTCAGGGAGAGTCTTGTTCCTCCCACCTTCTGAGATGATGCTATATACAGGTACTACATGAACTTTTTTTGCGATTTGTTATTGATTTTTAATTATTTGAATGGTATTGACCCCATAGAGTTTTGTAAATAGGAATACTTTTGTGTCATAGAGTTTAGTGATGGTAATTTTTCCTGAAGAAAAGATAACAGTGATTAAGGGGTGATGAATGTTTGGTTTATTGCATTGAAAATGGGATACATGGTGTATGATGAAAAGCATGCATTTGGTGTTAAGTTGGATAAAGTTTTCTTTATAATTTACCCTAATCTTTAAAGTAAATAATAAAAAAAGAAAGAGGTAATCAAGGATATTTTACTCTTTCAGGTGTTTTATCCAAAGATTTCTAATCCTCGTATTCGAAACCCATGTTGAATATAGTCTGAAATAATACCAGAATTGAGTACAACATAATCCTGGTATTGCTTATACTGGAACAAAAATCCAACCAAACGCTGGATAAAATAATCTCGAATTTTAGACCATGATTGTTTTCTAATTCCTGTAACCAAAAGACCCCTAACTGTATTACATGATAAGGAAAAACTTGGATTAGCGAATTGCCCAGCATTACAGAATGACGGTGCTTTGAGGAAAAAAGAACAGTTCAAGTTGTGAGTATATGCAGTCTTGAAAGGAATAGCTTTAGATGTTTACTCTCTTCTTTGAATCATGAGTTAAAAAAAAATTCGTGAGTTAATCTCACAGTCAACTCAAGTAAAGCAGACCACTTCTGTGCATGATGTTTTTAAGCAATCCGAGGGATTTGATGGTTGATATAACACCGAGGGATTTGATGGTTGATATAACTCCTATATGTATGAGGCTCAAACCTTCATGAATAGTCTTGTCTCTCCTTCCTTTGGCAAGGGAGGTGAGGGTTAATATATTGCATAATGCTTGAGATAATGCTGTATACAAATATTCCAAGAATATTCCCGGGTTTTCTTGTTCATTTTTATATATTTTTCAAAGTGATTTTTTAATTTGGTCCCCATATTTGATTCAATAAGATGAATGCCACTGATCCGTACAGTCTTGTGAATGGTAATTCTTCCTTCCTGAGGAAATCCTTTAAAAAATATTCTTCCTTCCTGGAGAAATATACAGTGATTACTTCATCAGAAAATATACCGTGGTAAACTGTATTACGTAAAAAGGAGTTACTCGTACATATCATACTTGGATTTATGTCAATTCAACATTATAAGATGGTGGTGCTTTAAGGAAGAAGAATAGTTAACTTTGGGCATATGCAGTCTTCAAAACAAAGTTTTATATGTGTCCATCTTCTCTGAATCATGAGCTAATTTCAGTGTGAACTCATCTAGTATTATTGTTGGTTCTTCTTCTATGCTTTACATTTTAAAGCAATGTGAAGGTAAAGCTGCTCTAATTCTGGAAAAGAGTTTATGTCATCTATCTCCTTGATTATGACTACAGAGACTCCTAAAATCGAGATTTATCAGTACTTATCGCTTACGAAGGTAACTATAGACGAAGCGGATGCTTACTGAACTCTTGATACAGTAGGAATGGATCATCCGCAGTAGTATCAATGATGCACCCGCCTCTCCACACACACAGAAAACAAAATTTGGTTTAGTTAATTATAGAATTAATTGTAAATGGCACAAGACATCAGTTTCTGGCTTTGCATCAATTTCTTATAGTGCCTCATAATACCAAACTGACATTGTTCTGATGCTTGCACAGGAATTCATCTGCTTCCGTGGACATGTTGTGGTGCTTCTATTGAACGGTATCTTGTGTTTGTGCAGAGGCCTGAATCTCTGTCTCTCTCTATATATTTTTCTTGAGCAGATCCTGATATTTGAGATTTATTTTGTTGACTGTATATCTCAGTTGAGTTTCTGAACATTAGATGAGTAGATGATCTGAGTAACTATTTGCATACTGATTTGACGAGGGAGGGGTTTACATTAAGGTTTAACTATCATTTTAAAACAGTAAGATTGTCCTTTTTGTTACAGTATCAAATTTTCCAGCTTTGCTATGTTTTAGCTTATCAGATTATAGCTCTGCTTATCATAACCAACACCTCTAATTGTCGATAAATTCAAGATTCAAGCCTTTCCTGTAGGTGATTAATGGAGAATGAGGTCAATAAGTAAATACAGGAAAATGTTTATGCTGTCTTCCTACTCTATTGTATAATTTGTCCATCTATGACTACAACGACTCTAAAGATCAATTTATCAGTAGGTAGTACTTATATCTGAAACCTACAACAACATACCCAGTATAATCCCACAACTGGGGTTTGGGGAGGGTAGTGTGTACGCAGACCTTACCCCTACCCGGAGAGGTAGAGAGACTGTTTCCGATAGACCTTCGGCTTAAGATAAGGTGGAAAAGAAGAAAAGGAAAAAAAGATCTGAAACCTATACCTGCAATTCTGAATATGAACCTTTGGTTTTTGTCAATTACTTAAAAAGATCGCCCTGAGACATATTTTCTCTTGCTTATGCTTTGTATTGTTTGAGAAAAACAACATATTAATGCAATGACTGTTAGCAAAATGCTATTATTGAGTTTTTCCAATAATATTGTGCGTATTGTCTTCAGATTCAACCATTCTGACTATTTTAGCCTATCATGCTATTACCATGTTATTTTTTTAATAAATATTGTGCCTTTTTTCTTTATATGATGCTATTTCTTTCTGTTTAAGGCTTTTAGCATTAAGCAGAGAATTACGATCTATATCAACTCATTATCCTTAAATTAATACAGTATTCATAAGCCAAGGGTCCCTTAATCTGCTTGTTATTTCTACTTTCTTTTGTGTCAAAGGTTATCTAAGAATTTACATCTTCTATCTAAATTAAGAGAACACGTCATATGCTTGGTTTCCAAATTCAATATTGTTGTTAATTTCTTAGCTGCAAAATTAGCTTCATCAGCAGTTAGGCAATAGCTGGTTTATTTATGCTTCAAGTTGCTGCAAAGTATTGGTTGGCTACCGTGACATAGCTAGGAATTTCGCTAAAAGGATTCAAGATTTAAACTGTTAATTTTACTTGCATCAAAGTTTAGTACCATATATTATGATTTTTCTTTGGGAAAAAGGTCAAATATACCCCTGTACTTTCAAAAAATATTTAAATATATCCTTCGTTATACTATGAGTTCAAATATACTCCTGCCATTATACTTTGGGTTCAAATATACCCCTCATTTAAACGGAGTGATACGTGTCATCGTTCTATTGGCCAATTCTAAATATCTCCTAATTAATTAAAAAGATTCATACTCGTAACCATACCCATTACCCATACCCGAAAAGTAATTTTCTAAAGCAATTTTTTTGTAAAAACTGGAAAAAAACTGAATTTATTTTACTAAAAACTGAAAAAAACAAAAATATTTCTTTTTCCAGTTTTTACAAAAAAACTGCTTTAAAAAAACTGAAAAATATTTTCTAAAAANTTTTTTTTTTTTTTTTTTGTAAAAACTGAAAAAAAATTAATTTTTATTTTACTAAAAACTGAAAGAAACAAAAATATTTTTTTTTTTCAGTTTTTACATAAAATATTGCTTTAAAAAAAACTGAAAAATATTTTCTAAAGAAATATTTTTGCAAAAACTGAAAAAAAATTAAATTTGTTTTTACTAAATATTCAGAATTTTCTAGGAAGATCCAGCAAGAAGCAGCTCAAGTATTTAGCCTACAAGCTGCTATGCTACAACTAACCAGGCCGCAGAAGAAATTGATTCGAGGAACTTCACACAAGGGATAAGCTCGTTTTCAAAACTGAAAAAAACTTAAATTTTATTTTTTTAAAAAAAAAAACTGAAAAAAAAATATTTTCCTTTATTTCATTTTTTAGTAAAAATAATTTCAGTTTTTTTAGTTTTTACAAAAAAATTACTTTAGAAAATATTTTTCAGTTTTTTTAAAATAATTATTTTTGTAAAAATTGAAAAAAAAATATTTTCATTTTTTTCAGTTTTTAGTAAAAATAATTTTAGTTTTTTTTTCAATTTTTACAAAAAAAATTGCTTTAGAAAATAATTTTCAGTTTTTTCAGTTTTTTTAAAGCAATTTTTTTGTAAAAACTGAAAAAAAAAATATTTTCGTTTTTTTCAGTTTTTAGTAAAAACAATTTCAGTTTTTTCAAATTTTACAAAAAAAATTGCTTTAAAAAAACTGAAAAAAAAAATATTTTCGTTTTTTTCAGTTTTTAGTAAAAACAATTTCAGTTTTTTCAAATTTTACAAAAAAAATTACTTTAGAAAATTACTTTTCGGGTATGGGTAATTGTATGGTTATGGGTATGAGTCTTTTTAATTAATTAGGAGATATTTAGAATTGACCAATAAGACGATGACACGTGTCACTCCATTTAAATGAGGTATATTTTAACCCAAAGTATAGCGACATGAGTATATTTGGACTCATAGTATAATGTATATTTAAATATTTTTCAAAAATACAGGGGTATATTTGGCCCAATTCCCTTTTTCTTTTCCGAGACGAACCATGCATCAATTTCTTCTAAATCAAACCAGTACTGTTCTTCCCAATCTTAATCCAAACACTACAATGGCTTGTTAAAGCAAAATTTATTCTAAAATTAAAGCAAAATCGAACCGCTTTCAAATTCGAAACGTCCTCCAAATGTTAGGCCTAATGTAAGTGAATTTATTTTGAAAATAGTTTCTTTCTCATTATCATAGTATATACAAGGGAAGCTGGTAAATGTCTTGGCAAAGCCAAATCCATTTGAAGAGTTGAATAGATTCAGTAGATTCTTGAAACAGTCCAGGATACAGAAAAAGTATGTATAAGAAGGCAGTTTATTTACTTTTAGCAACACATTGACCTTGAATTAGTACTTTGATTTTTATATAGGAAAATGGGGGTAAAAACTTGCGTGCATTCTGCCGTTTATACTAAACTAATAAATATATGACATATGTTTTCATATACACTTTTATCATTAAATCATACAAGGGCAGCTTGGTGCACAATGTATCCCGTATTCACTAAGAATTCTGGGAAGGGTCGCACCCCCAAGGGTGTAATGTAGACAACCTACCTTAATGCAACAATCCATTGTCTGCTTTTACGGCTCGAACCCTTAGCCTATAGGTCGAATGAAAACAACTTTACCGTTTCTCCAAGGTTCCCTTTTATAATTAATTAATATACATTCTCACCTTAATTATGACTTAACAATAATAAATTACTAGTATTATTTGATATTACACCGAGTACGCCTAAACTTTTACTGGAAAATGCTCAAACGCTCTAAGAACATGACAACTCTTAACATTATATCATTGTTTTAAGAACATTCTTATGGTATGGTACATGAAATAAATGCACCTTGTGACATCATATTTGAGAGGGACATAATTCCAAATAAATGCCTTGTATTGTAGGGTATCTTCTAAATAATAAAGGTGCAATTACATGACATTACTGCCCTATTCTGATTAGATTGTGATATACAACATGCTCAACTGGCTCTTGGCTTCCCCAATTGATACATCTTTTCATGTTTTGCTGTCCATTTCTATCTTTATAATGTAGCAATTACTACTACTTTTGGTCCCTCAACCTCAAGACTGTTGTATCCTCACTCAATTCCACTTGTTAAACATGGCATATGCATTTTTCCAAGTTGCTGATTGATCTCTCTGGAAGGAGCCTTCAAACAACGGTAAAGTTGTCTTTGTGTGACCTATAAGTCACAGGTTCGAGCCGTGCGTGGAAGCACCGTGTTAATACTTGCATCAGGTTAGACTGTTTACATTACATCCCTTGGGGTGCGCCCCTTCCCCGAACCCTCCGTGAACACGAAATACCTTGTACACCGTACTGCCCGGACTGATTAATTTTATGGATTCATAACTCAGGTTCCAACAACTAAACTCACCATCTTGTTTAAGTTATGTGTTTATAATTCAATTTTTTCAACAATTCCAGTAGGTTTTACATAAATAAATTCAGATATAGATTAAAAGTTATAGGTTCAAATGAGTCCACGTTGGCTCTGCTCTCCTTACTCTCCCTCCCAACAAAAGTATATTTGCAACGAGTAGTCAATTTTGGAGGTTGACTCGATTTTTTTATTCATTTACTCCTTTTAATTATGAGATTTTTATGTTGAACTAAATTTCAGATAAGCAACTTGATAAAAGACGAGCTTGAGAATTTAGGTAGGGTTAGAAAATAAAGGCACACTACGGAAAAAAAAATTTCCAAAAAAAAAAAAAGGAAGTCCAATAAAAATTCACTTATTTTTAAACCAAACGCCACCTGTTTTTTAATTTGTCATTCTAGTATAGTACGACAAAGAAACAAAGACATAAATGAGATAATCATCAACAATGAACATAGTTTAACGTTAATGAACCGCCGAACCAATTATATGGAGAATGTCAAATAGTACCTACGTTTATTTAATAAGAACATTTTCATTTCTTTTAAGTAGAACGATAATGTTTATTATTCTAAGGAATAAATTATTCTGATCAACTACTATGCAATAACGTACTAAATTTTCATCTATTTAGAACCATAAAGATACTATATCTAATTACCAAGCCTATTAATTAATCAATTTCATTGTACGCCATTGTCAAATTTTATATTCATTAATTTAATATTATTATTTTTGGTTAGTTGTTAAACAAGTAATAACAATGCATGGCCAGTATTAATTTGATATCTTAAACTATATGCTCCTGCAAAATTTACTGACCCCAACGATATAAATAAACAAGAAAAAGGAAAAATTCAAAGGTCAAAGTGATAAAATGACGTAAATACCCCTTCCACGATCTTAGTTTAGTGATTTTGCAAAGGGTGTTTTAGTAATTTAGTGCTTCGATTAAAAAAAAATTGGCATGCATCGAAGGCGCCATATATATATATATGAGACTGCAACTCTTGATAAATGAAGAGTCAAGAATGGAGCAGAAGTTGCTTAAAGCTTCTCCGTCTTCTTCTTCATCGCC